AGACAAGAGCAAGATACAAACTCAGTGGACCTGAAGGGAGGACCCAAACTCTTCCTATTAGAAAGAAGTATAAATATTTATTTTCTTTCCAGAAAGTGGGGAGTAGGGGTGGAGGAGAGGAAACTATATACAGCAAGGGGGAAAACTGACCTTATAGCATGTCTATTAAAAATATTTGAACCTGGGGGTTCCCGGGTGGCTCAGTCAGTTAAGTGTCCAACTTTGGCTCAGGTCATGATCTCACAGTTTGTGGGTTTGAGCCCCGCGTTGGGCTCTGTGCTGTCAGCTCAGAGCCTGGAGCCTGTTTGGAATTCTGTGTCTCCCTCTCTCTTTGCCCTTCCCCTGTCCATACTCTGTGTGTGTGTGTGTGTGTGTGTGTGTGTGTGTGTGTGTGTGTGTGTCTCAAAAATGAATAAACATTTTAAAAACATTTTTTTTAATGTTTGAAAATATATTTAACTCCCCCTGCTTAGTGCTGGCCAGAAATGTAATGTGGGAGCCACCAAGTTGCATCATCCAGGGGGCCCCATTTACATGTACGTCAATGAGACAGCCTTGGATATGGTTGCCAAAAAGCTGCAGTGAATTTAGGCTGCCTTAATAGAACTGCTGGGTCATTAAAGAAATCTTCATGATACTTGTTAAAGACTATAAGGTCAGACTTATTCAGTAGGGACTTCTACAGTGGCGTTTTGTAGTAGGGGAGAGAGCTTGGGCTCAACTCCAAATACAACAAGGACAAGTGAAGATTTATAGCCAAGGAGCAGAGGCAGTGGATGGAAAGTTACTAAGATGAAACATGGGGGGTAGAGGGGATTCTGGCTAAACAAACTTGACAGGATTATTGTTGAAGGCAAGCTGGAGTGGTAAGATACTGGTGGTTGGGGGGTGGGGGGTGAGGGTGGGGGGTGGGGATAAGGAATTTGCCCAGAAATCAAGGGTAGAGAGTTTTCCCTCAACTGATCCAGCAGAATTCTTGCTAAAAAACGAAGCAGAGGTGAACACAGAAGCCCAAGTCAGGGCCTCATGAGAAGAGAGTTCAAAGGTGATGATAAAAGGTCTGAGAAACATGTCATGTTTATCTTTCAGAAGACATTGATTGAATACCTACTACGCACCAGTTAAATAGTACAGGCAACAAAACTAAATTCCTGGCCCAAAGAACTTTATGTTCTGCTGTCAGTATAGGGAGAGACTAAAAATAAGCTGGTATATGAAAATAAGCAAGATAATTACAGTATGATAAATACTATGAGGGAAATAAAGGAAGGAAAATTGTAGAGTGGGATATCATCTCTAGAGCAATTAGTGAGGCAGAGGAAAATGAAGTTTGGGGTGTCAGAGACACAGAGGCAACTCAGAAAATGAGGGAGAGGCTGATTGTGTTGAGTGCCGCGGGGAGCACACAGAGCAGAACAGAGGAGTACCCAAAGAATTTGGCAACATGGAAGTCATCTGTGGCATAACCCAAGAGCAGCTTTGGCTGGGATACTGAAAATGGAGGCCTAGTTGGGTGGGTTGAAGAAAGAATGGGAGGTGAGGAAGTAGAAACAATCTTTTCTAGAAGTTTTGCTCTGAGTGAGGAAAATAGAATGGGGTGTGGCTAGTGGAGGATATAGAGTCAAGGAAGGATATAGAGTCAAGGAAGGATGTATTTTAAAAGATGGAAGGTATTAGCCCACAATTGTGTACAGATGGGAAGGCTCTAGTAGAGGAAGGGAAAGTGACGATCAGTAGAGAGGGAGGAGAGACACATAATCTTTGAGATGGCAAGTGGAGATGGGTCCAGCGCGTAGGTGGAGGACTCGGCCTTTAATAGAGGCAGGGAGACAGAATGCTTACTACAGAGGAAGCGTTGTAACTGGAAAGAAACTGGAAAATAGAGGTCAGCTGCCAGTAGGCTTGTAGGCTTGGTGGTAGGAAGGTGTTAACCACTTCCATTTTCTGAATGAAAAATGAGCCTGATATTGAGTGGAGCAGAATGCAGGTTTGAGAAATAGGGAAAGCTATGAAGTGAGTGCCTTGGGAAGTGAGAGTCCATACTGATGGGAAACTTAGCAGGACTGCTGGGTGGAATGGAGCATCCATCTGAGGTTCACGCAAGCCTCAGCTATTGACTCTGGCTAGCTTGAGCAACAAATCTGTTGGAAGAATGGAGAGGTTCACATGGTCATAGGAAAAGCTGAAGGACCAGGGACTCATGGACAGCAGCTGTTGGGATGAGTGGATTCCATCTCTTCACATTCAGATTCCAAGGAGAGAGCAATGGCCAGATTGAGGCGAAGAACGATGATTTTATTGTAAATTTCACCAAGACTGTGCTTAGTGGGAGGGGAAGGGATACTTCATCCAGCAAAACTGTGGTCTTATTACCTAAGGAAGAGGGAAAGGATTCTGGATAGACAAAACCAGATGACCCCTATGTAGTCATGAATTAAAAATAACTAGTTAGGGGTGCCTGGGCGGTTCAGTCAATTAAACCTCTGACTCTTGATTTTGGTTCAGGTCATGATCTCAAAATGTGTGAGTTCCAGCCCCAAATCAGGCTCTGTGCTGACAGTGTGGGGCCTGTTTGGGATTCTCTCTCTCTCCTTCTCTCTCTGCACCTCCCTTGCTCTTGCTCTCTCTCTCCCTCTCAAAAAAATAAACAACAACAACAACAACAAAACATAAGTAGCTAGTAGGATTGTGTGTTTTCCCCAGCAGTACTTTTCTCTGGGGCAAGCTCAAAGAAAGTGTGTCATTGGGATTGAACTAAGTAAGCTTTCTGGAATAAGGAGCTTATTATAGTAATTAGACCTTACACAATCGTGGGAGGAGCTGGGCAAGTAAAAGTCCAAATTTGGAGCTGAAGAATCAGAAAAAAGCCACGATCCAGCCCTGGCACTGGAGAATGAGTAGGCATGTGTAGGAATTCTGGAAGCTAGCCATATCCAGCTGCTGCAGTAGGACCACAAAGGGGGCTGGTGTGGAAGTCCAGGGATGGTTGTTGGTTCTCCACTGTTACTGCATCTGCGAGTTCACACCCAAGTGTCTGGGCTGGGTCTGGTGTCACTGTTGGCCAGCACTGCCAGAAAGTGGGAAGAGAGATCCCGAAAGGGAAAAGTAAGTACAACCCGTACAACCCTCAGCGTGTAATGGCTGCTATTTCACTCTGCTTCCCAAATCTTGTACAACCTCACTTTTGACCAACTCTAACCTTGAACCATTCGGCAAAAGGGATTCTGGGAAGCAGATCCCAGTGTAAATAAGTCATCAATTAAAAAAAAATACAACACGGGGGGGCGCCTGCGTGGCTCAGTTGGCTAAGCGACCCGACTTTGGCTCAGGTCATGATCTCGCAGTTTGTGAGTTTGAACCCCGCGTTGGGCTCTGTGCTGACAGCTCAGAGCCTGGAACCTACTTCAGATTCTATGTCTCCCCCTCTCTCTACCCCTCCCCTGCTCATGCTCTGTCTCTCTCTCTCAATAATAAATAAACATTAAAAAAAAAAAAACCATGGTGGGGTGACTCAGTCAGTTGAGCATCTGACTCTTGATTTCAGCTCAGGTTATGATCTCAGAGTTCATGGGTTCAAGCCCCATGTGGGGCTCTGTGCTGACCGTGCGGAACCTGCTTGGGATTCTCCCTCTCCCTGTCCCTCTGCCCCTCCCCTGCTTTCATGCTCTCTCTCAAAAATGAGTAAATTAAAAACAAACAAACAAACATGGTGAATGTTTTTTTTTTTTTTAATTTTTTTTTTCAACGTTTATTTATTTTGGGGACAGAGAGAGACAGAGCATGAACGGGGGAGGGGCAGAGAGAGAGGGAGACACAGAATCGGAAACAGGCTCCAGGCTCTGAGCCATCAGCCCAGAGCCCGACGCGGGGCTCGAACTCACGGAGCGCGAGATCGTGACCTGGCTGAAGTCGGACGCTTAACCGACTGCGCCACCCAGGCGCCCCCAAACACGGTGAATGTTAACAGAAGAAAAGACAGGGGCACTTGGGTGGCTTAGTCGATTAAGCGGCCGACTTCGGCTCAGGTCACGATCTCATGGTTTGTGGGTTGGAGCCCCGTGTTCGGCTCTGTGCGAACAGCTCAGAGTCTGGAACCTGCTTGGGATTCTGTGTCTCCCTCTTTCTGCCCCTCCCCCACTCATGCTCTATCTCTCTCTGTCTCTCAAAAACTGAATAAATGTTTTAAAAAAATTTTTTTAATAAAAAAAAAAAAAAAAGAAGAAAAGACAGACCAGGATTTAGGTTTTCTTCCAGGGAATGATTGTAATGATGGACTGTAGGGTCCAGAACACGGGGTTCGTGTAAATTGGCAGTCTGAAGGTCAAAGGGTATGCTAGTTACGTGAGCTGTAAGGATGAAAGATGATAGGAAGTGGGATATGAATTTGAGGCTTTGGACGTGTTATAGTTGCTGGTGATGAGGAGGTCAAGGGCGGCCAAGGTGATGAAGCCCCGTGTGTTGGAAGAATCATTCACGAGTCTGTTGAAGTGGCTGAGAATGGAGCCTGGAAGAGCCAGAGGGAAAGAAAGCCAAGGAGACAAGGGCCGAAGTCATCAGCGAGCAGTAAGGACAGGTGGACACCAAGGTTGAGAGAAGCTGGAGAATTTGAAGTAGAAGGAAGAGAAGTGGTTTTTAAATGGCGATAGAGAACAAGAAGGGCTCCTACCCACTTCCTGGCCTTGAGGCACATGAAGTGTAGGGGAAAAAAATCAACCTGTCTTCTGAGAGAGCTGCAGGGGAAGCAGTGTCCTGAAGGGAGCACCAGATTTCACTTAATGAAAGGAGGTGGGAAGGGCATTCACGGGAGAGGCGAGAACATACGAGGGAACGGGGCAAGCTCTCACCGTGTCATCCAAGAGGTGCAATGCAATGTCCCCCAGGAGGGGAGGGGTGGGAGGGTGAGTCAGATTAGAAATTATATTAGGACTTGTCAGTTTGAAATGTCAGAAATCCAGCTCAAACTTAATTAAGCAAAAGAAAAGAGAATTTATTTTGCTCACATGCCTGAAGGCCAGTGGGACTGCTGGCTTTCGTCTCAGAGGCATCGGGGACCCAAACATGTCCCCAGGGTGCTCTCCTCTGCGTTGGCTCTGTTCTCAGGCAGCTTCTCCCCACAGAGCAGTGGATGGCTGTCCAACAGGTAGACCAGTCTTCAGCCACCGCCTCTTCCCTTATCACACCAGTGAAATCCCGACCCTAACCGTCCACTGTAGCTAGTGTGGAGGCATCTCTGATTGGCCAGGCCTGGGTCCGCTGCCCACTTACGGTGGACAGAACTCACCAGAACCGCATGTTGGCAAGTAAGGGAATGGTTCTTCAAAGGTAAACAGCAATGCAGTCATCGAAAGAAGGAGGGCAGGGTACTGGACAGGCAAAACGTGGGATGTCCATATCAGATACGTAAAGAGCAGGATGGGGACGATGTGTCAGGGTGATAGTGAATCACTGCAGAGGCTGGGATTTGGCCTTCTGGTGGTCACTGAGGAAAACGGATATGAGGCAAGATGGGGTCAGCACCGATAACTTCTTAGGGGAAGAAGGCAAACTTTACATTAGTCCTAGAGCTCCAGAATGGGGCCTTGGGCATAGCACCATCTAGCTGTGCGTCATGGCACAGCCAGGAAGCCAGGGCACAAGAGGGTCTCCGGATGATGGATTGTTCACTGGCTCAGCTCCAGATAGTTTGTGGTCTAGGAGAGGCGAGGGGTCCTTCGAAAATGTCTGAAGGTAGCGGAGAGGTTGGGGGAGAAAAAGTTGAGAAAGAGGTGACTGACAGCAGCTCTTGTCAATTTGAAGAACCGACCTGTGAAAGAGGGAGGAAACTTAAGTGGCTCCAGAGTAGAATCAGAACCAATGTGTAGAAGTGAGGCAACAGTCTCGATCTAATAATTACAATCAGAACTGTCTAAAAAGAAGGGGACCTTCTTTTGAGGTGGCGAATTCCTTGTCCCTAAATGTGTTTAAGCAGTGATTTGAATGCCTCTAGTCAGCGATATTATATAAAGGCTCCTGTTGTTGGTATGAGATCAAACCAGAACGCTTTTGGGGTGCCTGGGTGGCTCAGTTGGTTAGGTATCTGGCTCTTGATTTCAACTCAGGCCATGATCTCATGGTTCGTGAGTTCGAGCCCCATGTCGCTGACAGCGCAGCACCTGCTTGGGATTCTCTGTCTCTGTCTCTCTCTCTCTGCCCTCCCCCATGCTTGCTGTCTCGCAAAATAAATAAATAAACATTTAAAAAAAAAATCAGAGCACTTTTTAGAAAAATTTTCAATGTTTATTTATTTTTGAGAGAGAGAAGGACAGAGTGTGAGTGGGGCACGGGCAGAGAGAGACACACACATAGAATCCGAAACAGGCTCCAGGCTCTGAGCTCCCTCTCTCTCTCTGCCCCTTCCCCGCTCATGCTCTGTCTCCATCTCTCTCAAAAATAAATAAACATTAAAAATTAAAAAAAAAATTAAGTTGAGTAAGCTCTATTCGTGAGCTAGTTTGTTCATTTGCTCAAAATCCATGCAGAGGACTACCCGCATGCCAGGCACCATGGTAGCTGAGAGGGTACACAGGTGAGTGGGTCAGAGCTCCTGCTCCGTCTGGGGAAGAAGTGAGACAGAAGATCACCTCCCAAGCGCCAGGCGCTGGCTGGACACGTTGCATCATTTTTATGTCTTCCTCTTTGACAATGCCATCAGGCAAGGATGATTCGTTTTTAGAAGAAAACTGAGGCACAGAAAGGACTGTCCAGAAAATGAGAGCCAAAGCTCAAACCCAAGTCTGTCCGGCCCCATGTTGCCTATGAACAAATAAGCAAAATACAATCACAAAACAAATCTGTTTTCATAGGTTTTTCACATTTTCTTTCAGGAGCCCCAGGAACAAAAGGATCATTTTTTTTTTTTAAGCCTACGATCAGATGCAGAGAATGAAGCAAAAACCGCCTTGTTTGGTCCTAGTTTAGTCCTGGTGGATACCCAAATGGAAGCCAGCAAAACCAGGTACAGGAGTGGCCGAGGAGCAACCCCGTCCAGCCCTGTGAGGGGGTCAGTCCCACAGCCCGGGACAAGTTTCTGGCCGCCTTGCCGCGCTGCGGGAGAGAGCCACGGCACAGGTGCCATCTAGTGGTGAGTCCAAAGCCTCGTTGCAAGGCTGGAGAAAAGTTCTGCTTCCAACATGCTTTCAGGATAGGCAAGGACCTAAGACTCAGTCCGCTGTAACGGGTGAGTCCTGAATCCCAGGCTCAGAGCCCGTCGTAGCATCCCCAAAGAAATCAATCTTATAAAGAAATCAATGCCCATGTTGTCATCAGATCCATATCTCTGAACTCAGTGGCCTCTGTCAGCCCATTCCTTCACCTTCCAGGCTTTCCAGAAAGACATACGAATGCCCTTCTATACTCTCCTTTGTACTTACAGTCAAGTTAGTCACAAGTAAAAAAAAACAGGACTCAGTTAATCTACTCTTGCAGCTCCAAACACACACGTGTGCGTGCGCGCGTGTACACACACACACACACACACACACACCCAGGGTCATTCATCAGAGAGCCTCTCCAAGAGAGCCTAAACACAAGATCCAGGTGGGAAAAAAAACCAGCAGCACGAGAAGGCCAAGGGACAAAGACCACCAAGGAAGAAAATGCTGCTCTTGCAAAAGGAACGCCCATAAACAGAACCTAGCAAACAGCAGCTCTCTATTGAGGTACCAGGCTACCTTCAGGGCCTCCCTCCTGCCCTCCTGTCCCCTCACTTTGCCTGATATGCCACATTTCAGCTCTGGCCCCACCTTCCACAAGGCAGACAGTTGTGCAGAGCCTGGGCCCGGACAGGAGGGAAGACTGGCATTTTCAATGGTCCAGACATGTGGGCTTGGCCTTGGTATAAGAGGTGCTGAAGAATCTACATGACATCCTGGAGGATTTTCTCTGAATACAACTGGGTGATGTAGCGTTCTCTACTCTCATACTGACTTTTGTACCTGATTCACCCAATTTAGTCATTCATTATATAAATGAATCATATTATATGTTCCTGTGAATGCATATATTTTAATTAAAAAACACATTTCCATTTTAGGTCTTCTGGTAGGCAAAATAATCCCTCCCTCCAAAAATGTTCACATCTTCATCCCCAGGGCCTATGAATACATTACTTCGCATGGCCAAAGAGACTTTGCATATGCGATTAAGGTTAAGGACCTTGAGATGGGGAGATTATCTTGGATTATCTAGGTGGACCCAATCTAATCACATTAGCCCTTTAAAAGCAGAAAACCTTTCCAGGATATGGTCAGGGAGAGAGAGAGAGAGAGAGAGAGAGAGAGAGAGAGAGAGAGAACTGCAGATGAGTCTGAAAGATTTGATATTGCAGGCTTTGAACACAGAGAAAGAGGGCCACGTATGAACCAGAGATTGTGGGCAGCCTCTAGAACCTGGAACAGACAAGGACACGGATCCTTCCTGGAGTCGCTGGAAAGGAATGCAGCCCTGTGGATGTCTTGCTTTTAGCCCAGCAAGAGCGTGTCAGACTTCTGCAGACCTGTCAGATAATTTGCATCGTCGTTAGCCCTAAGCTGTGGCAACTTGTTAGAGGAGCCATACAAGCTAACACAGGTCTCCTTGGGATTTGAGATCTCAGAGTCTCATTCAGCATCAAAGGCAGAACTGCCTGAAGCTATGCTAGTCTCAGAGACTTTGCTCTGATGGGGGCCATGGTTTTTGGATTTTATTTTAGGACCTGAGGGAAAGGCATCATTTCTGTTAATAATCTATTTTGTTATTCAGAAACCAAAAGCTCTGCTTAGCCCCATGTAGTAAGCTTCCAATAAATGTTTTCAGACTCTTCAAAGAATTCTGAATTAGGGGGCTCTTGGGGATGGCGTCTATGGCCCTCATCATTGACTTGGACACCCTCGAGAAATAGACATGTGAATACGTAGCAGAGCGCAGGCATAAAAGGACTGTCCCCACCAGGAACTATTGGCTCCTTAAGAAATCTTTATTGAATCATAAAGCTGTCCAAACCTCCTTTACACAGTAATTCCATTCTTGGGAATTTTTTGTATTTGAAACAGATTCCAAAAAAGCTAAATAAAATGTGCATAAAAATTTTATGACAAGATTATCTATAACAGTAAAAGCAACAACAACAAAGCAAACAGTCAGAATTCCAACGTAAGGAAACCTTTAATAAATTGCTGTTCGGTGCTATTGGGGAACCATGAAAGGTTGCAATTAGTCATGCTATAGAAACAGGGGAATGTTCTTATGACCTTAAATGGAAGCAGCATAATATAAAATAGTAGTCGTTCAATAATCCCTTATTGACCACATGCTATATATCAGGGATTCTACCAAGAGCCGAACAATTAAGTGGGGCCAAAGGAGATAATACTCGTGGCCCTTATCGACTCAGATATGCCATGATTGCAAATGTGTAAAATGATCGATACACGGGGAAGAAGATGTGCCAGAAAATGAAGCCAGGTGTTATGTTAGGGCATGGTAAATATTCTACTTAAATTCTCAAATGATCTTTCCATCATAATCATTTGATTAAAGGACAGGACAGGAAGGAACATAAACCACTGGACCTAAGTCCCAATGCAGAGCACCTTGCTGAGGAAGTGGGGTCTGAATACAACCCTTTAAAAAATACAAGAAACAGCAAGCTGGCAGGACAGGAGGCCAGGCTCCTTCCTACCAGGGGGAGCAGGAATCCAGATGATTCACACACAGGTGATGTGTCCATGATGAACACACAGGTGCTTCCCAATGGGGTCAGCTCTGGGAGGCTACATTTGAGCCTGTCTGTTCTGTGTACTTGGGAAACTTACGCCGCACCGGGAGGCCCTGTGGGACAGCAGCACCTGTCTCTACCTGTCCCCCCCGGCAGCCGAGAGGTTAACTATAAAAGCAGATGCTGCATTACCAATGTCTGTATCTGGCAAGCCACATGCACTGGGCCTACCTCAGTTTCCCAGGGTGAACAAGGAAGGCCAGGGCTTTTTAATTTCTTTAAAAAAAAATTTTTTTTTAATGTTTATTTATTTTTGAGAGAGAGACAGGTTGTGAGCAGGAGAGGGGCAGAGAGAGAAGAGGAGACACAGAATCTGAAGCAGGATCCAGGCTCTGAATTATCAGCATGGAGCCCCAGGCGGGGCTCAAACACACCAACTGCAAGATCATGACCTGGGTCCAAGTCAGACGCCTAACCAACGGAGCCACCCAGGTGCTCCGTTCATTTTCAAACCGCCTTCTAGGGATGCCTGGGTGGCTCAGTCAGCGAAGTGTCCGACTCCTGATTTTGGCTCAGGCCATGATCTCACGCTTCGTGAGATCAAGCCCCACAGCAGGTTCTTTGCTGACAGCTCGGAACCTACTTGCAATTCTCTCTCTCTTTCTCTCTCTCTCTGCCCCTCCCTCCACTCCCATTCTCTCTCTCCACCTCCCCCTCAAGATACATAAATAAAAATAAATAAATAAAGTGCTTTCTAAGGCTGTGGCTGTGGGAGCTCTGCCAGGCTCTAGGGCAAGTGAGATGGACCCTAAGTAGGCACAGCCCTGACCATTAGCTTATAATCCGAAGTCACTGTTATGACGGTACAGATACGAAGAGCATTTAGGTGACTGAACGACTACAGAGCTCACGACAAAAGGGAAAGAGACTTGTCAGCAACGAACATTAATTGCACAACATGGATGTGTAAGGTAGGGTGTGGTTAGGAAAGGTATTTATAGAGACCTCATCTTCTGACTTACCTTCCCCTGTCAAGCCGCAAGTTGCTTTTAAATAAAATTCACAGCAGAGTTTTATCAACTCATCCTACAGCCAGGCACTGTGCTTAGTGCTTCCCTTGGATTATTTCATTAACTCCTCATAGCAACCCAAATAGGTGGTAATATGATCTCCATGTTACCTTTGAGAAAATAGGAGTTTAAACAAATAACTTGCCCAAGGTCGCATAACTAATCAATGTTCTGGGGCTTGGACCAGTCTTGAGGAGACGCACCCATGCCTCACCACCGCAACTGGAACTCTCTGTCTGTTTAATTCGACCCCTTCTTCCAAATCTAGTAAATAAGACAGGCTTCCCTGCCCTCCCCACTGTCCTACCTCCGACCAGTTGCCCAACCTCCTGTGTTTTGTGTCTCTCTGGGCCCCAATTGCTGTCCAGCTGACATCCCGACCCCTGTTTCCTTCTGTCAGGATCTCATTTCAAATACACTTCTGTTCTAGTCCTTCTCTGCTTCATGTTAGTCGTCTGCTGGCCCTTTATACTGTTCCTTGGGGTACAGCATGCAAACTTGAGCCTGCATCCAAGTCACCTGGAGAGGGCTTGTTATAAAATAGCCATTCATGGGCCTCATCCCCAGAGTTTCTGATGCAGTGGGTATGGGTTGGGGCAGTGAATACCAGGATTCCAGATGAGCCGGATGCCCTCTCTTCTGCTGTCATCCTTTGAGAACTCCTGTTCTGGGGAGCCTGCATCCTGCCGCACTTTCCTGTATTGCTGATCTCCTTAAACAAAGATTTCCCAGTGCCCTATATAAGGAACCCTGGTTTTCCTTGGAAGGCACTTCACCCAGGTATTTTTTTCCTAGATCCCTAATCACAAGATGAGAAGGAGTGGTTCCCATGGGCACTTGCAACACCCTCTCGATTCTCCCAACACCCCAGCTGCTCCTGGCAGGCAGGGCGACGTCACAAACAGGAAAAGATTTCCAGTCACCAATCTAGATAACCCCACGAGTCTTTTTTGCTCCTTCCTGACTCCTTGGCTGCTGGAGACACCAGG